CTCATAAACATGTAGATTGATTAGGGTCATTTTCTGCTAGCCTGCCTCCATCCACCCAAGCCTTTCCCTCCATTAGTGATGAAAACCTAGATTTATTGCCACGTCTGTCACTTCTGCACCATAACTCACAGGCTGGCTGCGTGGCTGTTTTTATGTAGATGAGCACTGGGGGAAAAGGCATATTAAAGGCGTGTGTCTCTGTGTCCACAGGAGCGCATACAGGTTGCCAATGGGATTCTGTCAATCAGTCGGCTAACCCTGTCTGACACCGGAATGTACCAGTGTGTGGCAGGGAACAAGCATGGCGAGGTCTATTCCAACGCAGAGCTCCGAGTCATAGGTAAGGTTGAGTGTGATTGGGTTTTTTTGTGCTCTGTGGAGATACAAGTTGAAACACATATACAGATGGGAGCCAGTTTGTTGACTGCGCTGTGAAATTATTCCTTAGAACGAATTTAGCTTTTAATCCAGCTGTCTCATTTTACACCGTGAAACACACATCTTTAATTTGACTTAATTAACTCTGTGGTAAAAAAAATATATAAAAAAAATCTATGATCCAACTTACATTCATATAGAAAACTGTTTCAAATTATTGAAAAAAGTAACAATTCCCTCAAAATGTGATATAAATAAACATGATATTGATGTAAAACTGCAGTAAAATGTATTATCTTGTAAGAAATAAATTTGGACACTGATTTATTCCTTCTAAACTAGCAGGAATGACACTCACAGGCGTATTACACGAGTGGCACATAAGGCCTTTTTACACTTTGAAGGAATTTGGGTTAATTCTCTGTGCGCTTTTGAATGAAGTGAGAGAGAACACCATAAAAACCATGTAAGAGCGTATGAGGCTCGTAGAAAGATTTTCTTTTCTGCATGCAGAACAAAAACCAGAACTTCTGAATGTAAGCCAAATGATTTGGACACCAAAACTGTCCTGTATTTATTCTGCTATAGGCAGAGGCTGCTGGAGGATATAATCACCACTTTCCCTTACTCTACTACATTCTCCCAATACTCTCTATTGTTCCATAATTTTCAGCTATTTGGACTTAAACTTTATGTTCTCTCTACCTTTAGCGGGACACCAGCCCTGAGGAGCTGTTGCTGCAGACAACTTCATGTTCTACTTCAATACAGTAGATGATCCACTTGGCTCTGTCTTTCAATTATTAACTCTTCCCCTTTCCCAGACATAGCTGTTTGCTGAGGTTTTGCCAAGACTAACTGAATGTGCTCTACTTCATCTTCTAGACTTGAAAAGTAGCTTTAAACACTTCTGCCTAGTTGTATTATTCTCCAAGATGAAGCCAACACAGGATCTACTATTGTTAATATTTTCTTTTCTTTCATGTTCAAACATCCCTGTATCAGCACTTCTGTGTTCCTTTTGGGTCTGCTCTGTTTTCCCAAACGCCCAGTTACTGTAGTTGTGACAGTAGGCTGTTTACACAGTTCTGGTTCTGCTGAAGGGTTCTTCCTTAAAGTAGAGTTTTGTTGTTGTTTTTTTGTCACTATGTTCATGTTTGGTGTGGAGGATTGTTGCAAAGACAGAAACACAATGCAAGCAACCGTCCATCGCAGCTACAGTAAATGCTCATCTAGGAGGAGTGAGTCCTACATGTTAATGACTCCATGCAATCTACTGGGTTTACTTACAAAACCCTCTAACCAGCCTGTCTGCATAATTTGACAGTATTGACTCTATAAATTGCCATTTAGAGGACATGATGTGTTGTTAGAAACATAAACTGAATGACAGCAACTATTTACTGATTGACCTATCTCTTTGTGGTATTTTAGAAATTGGTACTATATCAAATATTCATATTTGCAAATAAATCCCCTTGGAGGCCTTTTGGGTACATTATTCATCTTTATTCAGGACATTTTAAGACCAGCGTAGACACTGCAGACACACAAGTTGTTCAGTCTATGAAGCAAAAATGCAATTTTAACCAAACCAGTCATTTCAGTTTCTTTTTTTTTTTACCAGAATAAATGTTTTCAAATCAAAGGTGAGATGTTAAGGATTTAGATAATGCTGCAATAAATAATACATATACCAGGCATTTCTACTAATCTTTTTAATTGCTGGCAGCAAACTTTTCCTCATCAGTATCTGTTTGTAAGTTTAATTAGTCTTCATTTCTGCACTCAATTTTGTAAGATGATTTCTTTCCTGTTTTCTGTTTGGACATTAATTTAAAAGCATTACTTTTAGGATGACTGTGTCTGATTGACAGTGAAGTATGCCAGAATGTTTCTACTGAGAAATCTTTGCCCATCTGCCTTATCAAAACTGTCAGTCTTCAGTTTGAGCCTTTATTGCTCCTACAAACTCCAACATATCACATCAGGATGATGTTTTCTGGTTAGAAACAGGCTCAACACAGCTGAGTGCTCTGGTCAAACTTAAAGTGAAGATTGCAGAAAAGAAGTGCTAAAGGCACAACATCTCCATGCTTTTTAAAAGCCATGATAATTGGAAGTGGTGGGGGGGGGTCACACGCTGTCTTACTGAGCATAATACTAATAAACTTACATCAAACTGCCGAACTCAACATCAGATGTCTGATTGCTAATTATGCAATCATGTCTCTTCAAATTATCTATGGTGGAAAATTCAGATTCCTAATGAACTCATTTTGCAAAATGGTATAAAGGAACAAAACACTGAGCGACATGTTTAAAAGGAGATAAATGGTCTGAGATAAATTAGACAAAAAAAGAATCTTTACTAAGATGCTTTTACAAACAATGCCGGTAATTTGCTTCTCTTCTCTTCTCTCAGCTGTTGCCCCAGATTTCTCTCACAATCAACTGAAGAGTCAGACACTGGTGAAAGTAGGAGGAGATATCCTGATCGAGTGCAAGCCCAAGATGTCTCCTTGGGGTGTCATCTTGTGGCGGAAGGGCAGCGAACCCCTACAGGGAAGCAGCAGGTAAAACATTGTTTATGTAGTTTTATGTCCATCTATCTTTTTGTGAAAGTTGCAGCAATTTTCTTCTCGTTTGCCCTTTTTTCTTTAAGCAAGGTGAAAGCTGGCTGGTTTAATTTGTTAGTTTATCTAAATCCTACAGTACTGACTTTTTTTGACAGGCTGTTCGCATTCCAAAACAAAAGTATGAATTAAGAAAACATTCAGTCACTTTCCAATTTTATCAAGTTACAACTACAGACGTCATTATACATGTATAATTAATTTATGAGACTGCCCAACACTAAGTGGCTTAGATTTATCAGATGGAAAGGAATATTCTCTTATTGCAAAAAAAAAGTGTGGCATGCATTTCTGTCTAAAGAGTAACCTAGTAGAAGCATCTTTCTCTACAACAACTGTAACTCTATTGGGGTATGGCTTTGCATGTCTATAGACTTTTCCCTAGTCTCTTTACAAGATACTGCAAAGTCAGTCAGCCTGTAAAGAAAACAACTACAATAATTGGCAGGTCATTTCAAAGATATTTAATTCAATGTAAATCATGCCTAAGCAATTCTATCCCTTGAAGATTCTTAGATTTAGACTTTCTTAATCCATCTGGCTGTATGGTTCGGGATATTCAATAAATTGAATAAAAAATTTGGTCAGAGCCTTAAGTCCTTCGAAGTCTTTAACAGTTTTCCCTGTATGCACCTACCATGTTTTTATTTTGGAGACTGGCTGGTGAGATTTAGGTGCAAACATTACTTTGACATCCATACACTCAATGTGTAAAGGCCAAAAAATTGAATAACCAGCATATTTTTGTTAGGTTGCATTTGTTCAATGTTTTGTTGCTTTAGAATGGAGAGTTAAATAGTTTATGCGTGTGTGTGTGTGTGTGTGTGTGTGTGTGTGTGTGTGTGTGTGTGTGTGTGTGTGTGTGTGTGTGTGTGCGTGTGTTTGTGCATGTGATGTTCAGACAACATTGCCCATGACATGACTGTAGTGATCGTTGGTCTTTGTGTTGTGATGCTGTTTGATCAGTATGTTCTCCAACAAATCAATGCAGCTGAGTCTTAGAATCTACAACTTAAATGATTTCAGAATGCAGTTATTGGCAATGGACTTTATTTAGTGGTATTAGTATGAAGGGGTTTAAATAAAAATACCATCAGCAGTTTAAACTATGTATTTTTTCTTCACTACCTGAAGATGTTTAAATTCCTGGCTTTAATCCATCCTTGTGTGTGATGTAGGTCATTACCTACGAGGGATTGTACAATTAGCACTCTTCAACATAAGTAAAGATGTCATCTCACCCAAGTGAACAAAAAGTATTTTTTTCTTAGTGGCTCTTGGAGATGCTATCAATAAACAACAAAATAAAAGTAGGAGAATGTTATCGTCTCAAGTGGAAATCCAACATCCACTTGAGACATTTTCTGTAGATTATTGCTGTAGCTTAGCTTGTTTGAAGGGAGGAATTTTACCAATATCCCAATATCACTTCTATAAAGCACTAAACAGAACACTGTTAGATGTTCTCTCTCACTTAAGAGCACACTTTCTGGTGCTGTCATAACAGCACAACAAAGTTGTTGATAATGTCAGATAACAAAAAGATAACAAAATTCCAGCTCTAATGTTGATTGAAGTCTTTCTGTGTGTTTTTCGCTTGTTTTCCCTATGTATGCATGGGTTTTCTTCCAGTTTTCACTGATGGTAAGTCAGGCATAGAGCTTTGAGTCTATGTGATAAGCTGGTGTCCTTTCCAAAGTATACCCCATCTCTCACCTTTTAAGGGTACACCTTGAAAAAAATGCATAGATTTCCACTGTTTTCACTTATTTTTCTGCGTATTTCATAAGCTGCATGCATTATGTGAAATCGTTATGATTGGGACATAATCTAAGAGTCTTTGTACCATGAAAATAGGCAAGCCTTAGATATGTCTAACACAGCTATGTTCAAATATTCACATACACATGAATACACATTATTTATTGTCATCCAACTAGAACCCATCTACCTTCATACAACCTTGAATAAGAAAGATAAACTGTATTAGCACCTAAATTCTGCCCAGTTAAAGATAAAATAATATCTAGCTTTATATATTTAAACAAGAGTTATTATGATGATTCAGTTAAGTATATGATGCCCAACAAAATAAGACAATTACATGACAATTGAAAATGAATGAAGTCTAGCTGGTGATTTTCAGTAATTTAATCCAATATCAAAACAATTGATAAATGATGCATAGGTTGGGTGCTATAAGATGTTTAAAGGGTTATGAAGATGTTTAAAACCTCTGCATCACCTGTACAATAAACTCTGTTTTAGGACGGGCAAACATTCAAGAGCTTGAATTTAAGATATCCTGGTTGATAAAGATGTAAATTATTTTACAAAATTGTTTTGACATTGGTTTCCAAACCAAGAAATTACAGATACATAAAGGTACATGTTGAAATACTTTAGTGAAATCATATATTATAAGATCAATACCAGGCTGAAATGGAAGTACGACTAAGGAACAATATAGTAGTTGTATTTGTTCCATTGCTAAAGAAACACTGGCCACCGAATTGTTGCCTTTAAATATACTTATCTAAAAAGAACAATGTTAAGTATGCAATTTATTGCCTTTCCTATCTTGTCATATAATACTTAAACTTAAGTTACTGGAGAGTTTTTTTATGGCTTCAGTTAGACTATACTGATGTACAATGAAATTCAGGGAAATTCTTCATTCTATCTCCATAGAGGGATTTCAAGACACTTCTCAGATGTGATAGCAGCCGGCTAAGAGGAAAAGAACAGCGTGAGACCTAACTGAGTAATGGATAATGGGATCCACCGTGTTTTACCAGCAGCTCTTTGGTGGGGGGGCAAACAGACCAGCTGCTGAGTAAATTCAAAGTGCTAATCAAGTAGTTTTCACCTCAGTGGGGACGGTAGAGGCTCCAGAAATCAAATTAGACCACTCCAGACATGCTTCCAAGTTTCACAGAATCAGAGGGCAATTCCACATTGCGCCCTTGTTTGACCTCTGCGATGTGATGTCTGCTTCATGTAATAAGCTTTGCATGTGTTGGAGTGTGTCTGTCTGGATGGAGTGTGAAGTCTGGCCCTAAAGTGTCACTGCTGCCAAGGGTCACCCAATGGGTGTCACCACCCAAGCAGGACTCGGCTTTGACAGCAGGGCTGTGTGCTCAGTGTCTTGCCAGGCTTTGCATATATACAAAGTAGTGTTGTTGCTTGTCAAACAAAGTTGAGGGGAATTTGCATAGTGGTTTCGCTACTGGTGCCCTTCAGTTGCCCTTTGCCTCTTCAATCAAGCTGCACTCAGACCTTTTTTCGTATGTTGATTTGAGTTAGTTGTTCACAGTGATTTCAAAGGGCTGGGGTGGAGGATTAAACAGCCGTCTCGACAACGTGATTAACCAATCAGACTTGTTGGTAATGATGCTTTGTGCAGTCGGTTTTCCTTAAATGTGTTTGCTTTTTGTATTTGTCCTTCATGTCTTAACATACTCACTGCCAAAGGCAGGACACCAGCAGCATCTGCTAGATATTAAAGCCTTTTTTTTTGAAGAATTTAGAAAAAAAGGAGGTGACTGTTTTTTAAATAACCTTAAAGCTGGACAAAAAAGGGTGAATCCCACCCTCTCATATATCCAACTTAAGAGGTTAATAATAATAGTTGAACATTTACAGCCAATTTAAATTATTGTGTCATTTATATAGTATCAACAGCCTGGAAAGTCTCCAAATGCACAAGATTTAATAGTTTTCAGAACTGGGTTAAAAAAAAGCATACTATTATAAACTTACATTTTGAAATGAAAAAGTTGAATTTCCAATTTAATAAAGTTATTTTTTTTTTACATTCGCAGTTTACAGTTTAAGTAATCTTAATGCACTTAAAAATAAGAATATCAAAACAGTCACTCAGACAAATTAAAGACATATTCCAAGTCAAGATCAAACATTCCCTGTTGTTTCTTTCTTATAAATTTAGCATGTTTTTATAACTTTTCGGATTTCTGCTTTTAATTTAATTGGTTTTGACATCAGTTTAAAGTGTAGTAATTTATTTGTTGCCTTTAAATATATGTAACTTGTCACAGATTGCCAGTCAGACAGCGTATAATCTAAAGATGGGATTATAGATTCATGATTACATTGCAACACAATCCCTGCTGATGTACATTAATTTTCATGCTATGATCCCAGAAGCTGTTGCCAGCAAAGAATTAGAAAAGCAGTTTACAAGAATTGATAACACATGTCAGCTCCTTTAAATATGCTGAATGTGTCTCCTCTCCCCTATTATCTCCTTCTCCTTTCATCCGCAACATATGCACACGCACCACGCTGTTGTGCACACCACAAGGTAAATGTTCAGCATCTGCTGAGGTAATCATTGGACCAATCGGCCTAGTAATAGCAGTACTGACTTTAGGCTCAGTGCAAAGTAAATTTATATCAATCTGTATAATTAAATATATTGAAGGTACTGTAGATGTAGATTATTTTGAAATCTATAAAGGTTTTTATTGATTTTTATATTTAGGTTTTTATACAATTTTTTTAATTTAAATTTTTATATTGAAGGTTTTTATATTATAGATTAAATTTTTTTTATGAACTGAACTGAATGTAGTACTAAATTGAAAAACTGAAGGAAATTAAATTGAACAGTAATAATAGTGTCTGGGTGTCAAACCCACCCTTTAAAAGCAAGTGTTGTTTAGTGATGAAAAACCCTACTGTAGCTGATCTTATAATGACCATATATTTGAAATGCAAACAAATAATATTTTTAATAAATGTATTTGTTCAATTTTTTTTTTTTTTTTTTGTTAAGTTTTGTTTTTTTTGTTTTTTTTGCTGGACAGAAAAAAATTTGAAGAAAGTGTCATGGCTTACCCCTCAGAAAATATGTAGTTTCCTTGTGCTTCTGTCTAGGAAGATAATGGAAATTGTAGCTCGACTTGGATAGTTGCATG